CAGACCTTGCGCGCACGCGGCACTACGCGGCACTACGCAGCACTACGCGCCCGCCCGCGCACGTGCGCGCACGCCCGCGCACGCCCGCGCACGCCCGCGCACGTGCGCGCACGCCCGCGCGCACGCCCGCGCACGCGTGCACGCCGCACTACGCGGCACTGCCCAGGTTCCCTCACGCTCAGATTCCCTCACGCTCAGATTCCGTGCAAGGGGGTGCCGAGGTATGCCGCAGGCCGGGATGGAGTGAGATCTTGCGGGGCAGGGCGTAGGCTAGCGCGTGAGGGCGCAGGCAAGTGCCCGAGGGTATGGGGGTGGGCGCCACCCTGGGGCTACCCGTAGCATTGTCGGCTCAGTGATGGGTATCCCCGGTGAGCGGTGTGTGTGTGTGTGAGTGTGTGTGCGCCGCCCGGTCGACTCGAGGCCGTCGACGGTCCTCGGTTGCCGCGTGCCTCTCGTAGGGAACGTCGCGCGTGTGTGTGTGAGTGAGTGAGTGAGTATTCTTGATACGAAACCACGACGACACACACCAGTCGACTCGCATCGGTTGCCTCCATGAACGGCGGAGCTATTCTCGCGCCCACACCACACCTGGCTCCAAACGTGGACACGCCCATAGCTGGGGACACTACTAGGTCACGCATGGCATCACAGAAGTTTTGTCTCTGGGCCCCGAAAGGCATCTCTAGCAGTGTCGTTACGCATGCCCCCTCCCATCCTGGGCGCATGCGCCTCACGTCTCGCCAGAGCATAAGCCCTTGGCGTGTGGCGAGACGAGTTTTTCGCCATGCAGCGAGCAGCAAGCCGCCCGCCGCAAACAGCCGGAGGCATCGCCACGGCACTGGCTGCGCCGCGCTCCCGCACCCGTCGACGAAGCTCCCCCCGCGGAAGACCGCGCGTAGCCACGCCTTGACGATCGAGATGGGCGCGCCTGAAGCTCGCCCACCTACTGCCCCCGAGAGTTGGTTATGAGTGGGATCAGCTCCCCCCCTTGGGATCGAAGCCGCCACAACCTCACACCCAACACCACAGGTGGGATCAGAGAGAGACTCCACACCGGACACCGCCCGGGCACAGCCCCCCTACCCATCGGATCGCACAGGGCCCCCTCGGAGCAGCCCACACACAATCTCGCATCGGCAGATTGCGCCTGAGTCAGGCAGACAGCAGACAAGGAGAGGAGAGGAGAGAGAGAGAGAGAGAGAGGAGAGAGGAGAGGGTGAGGGAGTGTGCACACGTGTGTGTGGAGAGGGAGGGTGTCTGTGGTGGGCTATAGTCTTACTACGTGGTGAGAACCACGCGCCCCTCAGGAGCTTAAGGTAGAGCTGAGCGTCCAAGACGCCTCGGTGCCTCCCACCGGCGTGAAGACCATCACACACACACACATACTCACGTCGCGCATCAGAACCACGCTCCCCCCAATTATTTTTGCGAGCGCCCGCCCGCCGGCTGAATACCCCTCCCGGACCGCCGCGGCCGATGCCCTCACTATGGACGCCAACGCCAACGATGCCCTCATTGCCCTCGCCGCGATTTGGGCCCAGATGCGCTTCGTCCGCCTCGCCGTGCTTGTCTTTAGCAGAGGCGCGCCGTTGACCGATTGGCTGCGCGGGCCGGACCGCGTGACCTGCGCGTTGCGCGTCTCCGCGCTGGCGGCACTGCTGTGGTGCATCGCAGCTCCGTCGCCGGTGGCTCTGTTCGCGACTCTCACGACCACCCTCGCTCTCGGATGGGCGTGCCTTCCCTATGAGGTCGACAACAGCGGCACGTATGGCCTGCTGGCCGACGCCAACCTCTGGTGCGGCATGTGCTTCGCGTGGGCAACGGGTCGCACCGCGTCAGAGGGCTGGCAGCTCTGTGCGCCGGCCGCCCGCACCATCTTTGTCACCACCTACTGCTTTGCGGCCTTTGCAAAGCTCAACTCGGGCTACGCTGATGTGCGCAAGTCTAGCTGCACCGTCTTTACCTGCTTTGTTGGCGAGGGCTTTGTGCCGGCTGCCGTGACTGGGCGCGTGCTCGCGCTGCTCGGGGACCGGGCCACCCTCGCGATCCTCGAGGTGGGACTGGTCACTCTTGAGGCCGTCGAGATTGCCATTCCGCCGCTGCTGACCTTTGGGGACCTCCGCGGCGCAGCGCTTGTGCTCTGGATCTTCCATCTCCTCCTCGGGTCGATCGCCTACGACTACTCGGCCCTCAACCACCCGCTCTGTGCGCATAGTTAGCGCCTCGTCACAAGGCAAGGCCGTGAAGTAGGTGATCTCCATGGCCAGCCTGGTCCTCTGCGCGCCCCCCGCCCTGGTGCTCCGGCTCTCGTGGATGAGCTCAGCGCCTCTGGCACGCCTCAGCTTCACCGCCACCGCGCTGGCGGGCTGCTGGCGGCTCGAGGCGCAGCGCTGCCGCGAGCTCGGCTCGTGCGAACACGTCCTGTCGCTCCTCTGGCTCTGCCTGCTCTGCCCGGCGAGCTGGATCCCGGCAGGCACGTCAACCCCCCCTGGCGTGCTCGCGCTGCCGCCCATGCCGTTCCCCTTCGCTGCGTGCGGCACCGCGCTGCTGCTGCTGACGCTGCTCAACGGACTGGGCCCGTATCTCGGCTACAAGACCGCCGCCACGTGGGCCATGTTTTCCAACTTGCACGTCGAGGGCGGTTGGACAAACCACCGGCTCGTGCCCGCCTCCTGGCAGCTGTGCGGCATGGCAGCGGACCTCGTCACTGTCGTCGACAGCGACGTTGAGCTGATCCGCGACTACCACACGCACTCGTGCTTCGGTGCGACCTTCGAAGGCAACGACGTCTCGCCGCTGCAGGCTCGCGCACCGAGCCTCGCGCCGTGGAGTAGACGAGTGGCCCACACTCACTAGTGGAGGCCGGCCCCAACCCGCCTCGCCTCATCTCGCAGGCCTTTGCGCGGCGGTGTGGCATCCGCTGCGTCTCTCACGCCAACTCAGTGCTGGGCCGCGGCGGCGACGTGTCTGTCGTCTTGCCATTCCGCGTGCCCTTCTGGCAGCTCCGCAGGCTGATCTCGCTCGAGGCTCTGCCTACGCGGCGAGACTTCCACGTCGAGTACATAGCGACGAGCGAGCCGGCTGTGCCGCCCGCAGGGGTGGAGGGGGCGAGCGGAGGCAAGGGCCCAGGCGGGCGACGACGTCGCTTCGAGGTGCGCGGGGGAAGGATCGTTGGCGATTCGGACAGGCGGCTCGCCGCGCCGCCGTGTTGGCTGCTGGCGAAGCTGATCTATTTCAAGTCAGTGCTCCCGGCGGACCGTGACTGCGGCGTCTGTCACGGCCCGTGACGATCGTCGAGAGGCTCACGGCGTTGACTCTAAGGCGTGGGCGGTTCCGTTTTGTTTCGGAAGCGGGTGGTGTCTGAGCTCGAGAGCTGATCGACGAGCCCAATGTTTGAGAGGGCGAGACCGAGAGACGCACACGCATCCGCCTGCCGGAGAGGGACAGCCGTACATGTTTTCACCAATACATTTGAAGATGATAACACACAAGAAAATACACATCGACATCTGGTGCGGGTCTCCCCAGCGCCTTAGACAATACTTTTAACTCTAAAATGTGGGACGAGGGAGGGGTCATTTTAAAAAGCGACCCAAAAATTCCTCGGCCGCTATGCGGCCGATAAAATGCGTTTTGGGCACCTGAATTAATGGAGTTTGCAGAGTTAAAAGTATTGAATGTTGTACTTGTTTGTACTCTTACCCTCCTGGTTTCCAATATGGTGCCCCGGGGCCAGGGACAAGGAGCCACAACAGCCTGGACTCGACTGGACTGGCACCAGCCTTGGCAGTTGAGTTGGCCTTGGCACCAGCCTTGGCGGGCGGGCACGCGGGACATGCACAGGCGCCAAGGGGCGCAGCGCCGACAATCACGGCGGTGATTGCGGCGCAGGTGGGGGGACGGGAAGTCCGTCGGCGTTGCCGGGGGCCCAAGGAAGCGCGAGGGAAAAAATCCGCCGCTGAGGGCGCTCGTGCGGCAATAGCCGGGTGGAGGGGGGAGCGTGCCGGACGGGGCGTCGTCGCGCCGTCCGATGGTCTGCTGCCCCGCGCAGCAACCGTCGGGCGACGACCCGGGGGCCAAAAACCCGGCGACCGCGACGGCGCTCTGGATGGGGCGTGACCTCCTGCCTCCAACCTCCTTCCTTTTTGAGCAGGTGTGACGCCGCGCGAGCGACGCTCCGAGATCGCCCGAGATAGCGCGGCGCGGCCCCGAGATCGCCCGAGATCGCGCGAGATCGCCCGAGATCGCGCAGCGCGGCCCGAGGCGAGGTGGGTGGGTTGGGAGCGAGGGGGCGGAAGTGTTCAGTGCGGTAGATGGTAAGCTCGAGGCGCGTGAGCCGGACTTGTGAGCCGGACCACCCCCTCTTGTTCCCTGCGTTGTTGAGCCAGGACTCAACATACTCGGGCTTGCTCATCCCAAACTGTCACTCCCCTTTCTCCCGGCCGAGGTGGGGCGCGCGCGGGGGCGGCGGGTGTGCGGCGGGTGTGCGGGATGTCTGTGGGCCCGAGAGCGATATGCCATGTCCGCCTTGCGTTGTTTCCTAACAGCGAGGGCTAAGCTCAAAACAAAAAAGTGGGAGACGAATATACCGCGGTCCACCAAGTCTACCGGTAGACTGGGGTTGTAGGTTCATCACGGTCTACCGGTAGACTGCGGTAGACTCGTCTACCAAACGCTCTCCCGTCTACCCGGTCTACCGGTAGACGGTATGTATGTATGTAGAAAGATGAACAACAGTCAGGCTCGGACTGGACACCAACGCGGTATGGGTGGACGCGGGACAGATGATGACGACACGCACGAACGACACACAGACACAAACAAGCTCACAAGACACACAGCCAGCTGGCTGCCACACACCCTGAGTTGAGACGGTAGACGGCCACCCTCAGGTGCGCGGGTTACCCCGCACACGGGTCACACACACGGGGGTCAGTCACGTATAAGCTGTGGGCCGCTCCCAGTGGGGTCGTGGTCGAGACCGAGGTGCCGAACTGAGAGGCACTACTGGAGGCTACCTCCGGCCACCGCTCGACTACCAAGGCACATGGCCGGTCCTGTGGCTTGCCTGGACTCGCTCAGAAGCCTCAATTCGCGCACACCTTTGCTCTCTGGCTCCCGCGAGTGCGTTCAGGCCACTCAAGCAGGCGACGCCGAGCACCCGCAACGCATCTCGCTGGGGCGCCACCTATCGACCCGACTGATTGGCAGCATCAAAGCCGACCCCATGACGGTCCTTCAGCCCCACGAGGTAGGCAGTTGCGCCCTGATCTCGGTCCAAGACGGCCAACGCCGTGTCCGGCACCTGCTGGCTGCTTCACGGGGATGCCCCCCCCGGACACATGCTGCAGCCCCGAGTGGATGTATTGGTCGTTTGTGGGTCCCCCAAGACTACTCTAGTAGGGGCCGGGCGCTTGAGCGTCGGCGGTACACCTGTGCAGATGTTGCACGGGTGAAATGGCTCCTCGTACAGGGTAGGAGGCAGGTGGTGGGTTTGAGTGTCGTGAGTGCTTGCAGCCGCGAGTGCAGCACCGTTTGCGACTCCCATGGATGCAGTTGGGTGGGGCACGGTGCTGGGGGGCGGTCCGGTGCGCCACAACAGCCTCCCTGGCTGACCCCCATCCAGTTCGGCACCTCCATCCTGACCGTGGAACCCCAACTTCAACCGGTCATATTTCGGGCGGACTGGCACCTCAGGAGCTCATCCTGGGCGGTTTGGGGAAGTCTTGGGGGTGTACTCGAAGGTGGGAAAAAGAGTTTTGCTCGAGATCTTAACCGGGGGGCAGTCTGAGCACCGTGAAAACAGCGGCCCACAGCTTATCCGCGCAAGCGTGGTCACCCTGGGGCTGGCGGCGGGCGCCAGGGGGCGGTATGGCCTCTTGTGGGACCAAGATCGGCGACGCCTCGGCCGCGGCCCCCCCGGCCGGTGTCAAGACGGTCGATGTCACATGCGGCGCGATGTGGCGCGCGGAGCCACCGCACACGCTCACCGACGCTGAGCCCAGCTGTCGCGCCGGCGTGCCCTTTCACACTTGTGCGGTCGTGCTGGCAGGGCTCTTCGTGGCGTGCCGTGGGCTGCTGCTGCGTGGCAAGCAGGTCAAGAAAAAGAGGATTGAGTGCCGCAGCTACGCAGCCGACTCCGTGCATTTGCTCGCCAGAGATGCGCCTCAGCGGTCTGTGGTCGCCAGTTCCTCGTCGCGGTTCCACTGGGCGCTGCTCACGCTTGCGGCACCAGTACAGCTGGCTCAGGCTGCGCAGCTTCAGCCCGTCCTCGCAGCAAACTCCTCCGTCGCGTACTGCGCTTGCGGCGAGCTACGCCGTGCCTCGCTCGCGCCCGCCGTCTTCGATTCGATGCGAAGCAAGCTGCCTAGTGGCGACTGGTTTTTGGTCAGCTCTGGCCAGGCTTCTCTCGACGGGAACGACAGAACCGCCGATACGCCAGGGCTGTGCGTCCCGGGCCGGCTGGCCGCATGGGCATCGATAAACAGCACAGAGCAGACCAGCGACGATAACGACAACTGCCATCAAAAGTTGGTGCAGCATCGGAAGACGCAAAACAGCTGGATGCGGCTGCAGAAGATGACTCGCTGCGTGAGCCTGGTTACACAGCATGAACGCTCTCGACACCTGCAGTATGCCTTCCTCTTCCTCACACGCCCAGACCTCTACCTGTGTTCCGTTAGCCGCTTCGACCTGACCGCGCTGCCTGAGCAGAAGATCATGATATTTGGGCCAAGGGTGGGGCGTGGAGCACAACGGGTGGATGATGGAGTGGTGGACTCTGTGCGCGACCACCTTATTGCTGCGAGGCGCGACACAGCACTCTCGCTGGTGCGGCACCTCATGTTTGACATAGCAGACTGGTACTGCTCGGTCCAGAACGTGGCCAGCAGCCTCGCCTCCAGCTGTCCTGTTCATGAAGGGCTGGGCCGCTTCGGCGACGCAACGCTCGAGTGCTGGATCGGGAGGCGCATGCAAGCAAATAATTGGAAGGCGAGCTATGTCAACGTCGACTTCACGCTGCTGCGCACCAATACCAGCACAGCTGAAGGCACTCGGTATGGCTCGGTGCAGTGCACCCTCCATGGCCGATCGCACCGGCCCGACCCAGCCTGCCTGCCCGCCCGCCCCGGAGAGTTAGCCCATCGTGCCACGATGGTGACCTCGCGATGGTGATGGTGACCTCCCTCGCCACCGTCACCGTCACCATCCCCGTCGCTACCGCCCTTCATCCCCGCCGCCCTTTGTTTCACACTCGTCTCTGCCATGTCCGCCGTCGCCGCCGTCCTGTCTGCTGCGCTCTGTGCTCCGTGGTACAGTCGTTTATTGTTGCTCAGGACACTCACGAGGGCGCGCGGCGGTTGGGGATGTATTTTCTTTTTAATCCTTTGCTTGTCTGTTTTCTTTCACCTTTCTTTCTTTTTCTTTCCCTCGGGGCACACGAATCTCGCCGTGCAGGGTGAATTGACCCACTCGGGCCGGCACACGCGGGCACCTCCTCCTGCACCGTTGCCGAAGTCGCCGCAGCAAAACTGACCCCAGGGATTCCTGCTCGGGGCTATAACGGACGGAACTGATCGCAGCAAAACCGCCCCCAGGATTTCGGTCTTCGGTTTCGTCGCACAGCATAGGTTTCATTTTCATAGTCGGCCGTCCTAGGACGTACGTCATTTCGGTTCTCGCGTGTATCTCGCTGCGCATTGGGAGTTAGCGCGCTCGCAGAGCGGCGCCTGCTAGCCGAGCGCGAATGCCTGGGTCGCTGAGCTCGCGCCGGTGGCCAACTGCGCCTCCGTGGCGACGCGCTCCGGCCACGAGCGACGTGCCAATCTTCACTTTGAGCTCGCTTGGCAGCCGCCGAGTGCGAGAGGAATTTAAACGGCCGAGCTGACCAGGCAGCCAGCCGACTTCCCGTACCGGTCAGCGCACGTGCGACCGCGCGTGTACGGGGCGTACACGCGCGGCCGCACATGCTCCGCCTCGACGGCCGCCTCGCGCTCGCTCGAGGTCTGCTCCGCCCGAGCAGCAAGCTCTCAGGTGCGGGCTCTCGGGGCGCCGACCAGCTGGTAGGGAGGAAGGTCGAGCGCGACGCCGCGGAGCCAGGGCAGCGCGGCCGGGGCTGGGACCGTGAGCGGCGATCGCGCTCCGAGTCGCCCAGCGACGGCAAGGCAGGACGACGAGGCGCGACGGCCGTTGAGCGGAGGGCTGGCACGAGTTGGGAGGCAACGGGGGAGAAAAAAGAATTACGTCCGACATCAAATCTAGCAAGGCGGATCCGCAGCGAGCGCAA